CACCCCGGCAATCCCTCCCTACACCTCCATGCACATCTCGAAAGGGCCTGTAGCTGAAACACTCATCTCCAACATCGCGGCTTTCACTTGTGACGTTGACCTCAGTGTGCCAGATCCTGCATCCTCCGGACCCATAGTCAAGACCGCGGCAGCCAGGAACTGCGATGCAATGAAGTTTGCATTCATCCAGACTTACATCAGGGTAAACGGAAATGATTGGAGAAACTCCTCCACATGTCCCATGACCCAAAGAGACGAACGCATTACTGTCTTCGAATTGGTCATGAGTTCCTAGTCGAAGGCAAAGGCTTCCACTCTTGTCAGAAGTCATTTGGATGCCTCCCCTCCTTGACCAAACAAGGCAAGTCTTGACGCCTGCGCTGAGGTCATACTCAATTCCTTTGCAGGGAACCGCCGATTGAAGACACAGCGCTTTGCATTCCTCCAAAGACAGCTCGGCATCGCTGGAGACGTGCCGAGTGTAGTAGCTGGGCCAACTATCATCCGCCAACATACCCCTACAGGCCCTGTCCATTCCACCGTCAACAGCTATGAAAGGTTTGTAGCTCAGACATGACATGTTGACATTTACATAAGTCCCCTGGACGCGGGACCTCCAAATGTGGCAGTTGGTGTCATCATATTCCACTCCCTGACAGCCAACACTTTCCACGCAGGCTGATCTGCACTGCTCTCCAATGGAGTCGCCAGGAAACTGCACCGAAGTTGTGTCAACTGGATCGGCCCCAAAACAGCCATGTTCGACGCCACCATCAATTCCGACAAACGCCGAATAACGCAGGCAAGTTGTTCCTGTAAATCCAATCGAAGTTGTGACAGGGGAAGTCCACACCTTGCATCCATATGCGTTCAATTCAATGCCTTGGCATGTGGCATGTCCTAAACATCTCGACTTGCATTCTTCGATGGATTTGCTTTCCCCAAAGAATTCAAAATATGATGAGCTCCAATCTGAAGTGTTCATGCCACGGCATGCACGGTCATTGCCTCCATCTATTCTCTCGAAGGCATCGCCTGCATGGCCTCTCTCCCCAAAACGTAAGCACATAGCACCAGAACGAGGAATAGTTCTTTCAATGCCTGACACTCGTGTCCAAACATGGCAATGGGTATCGGCAAATTCAATTCCTTTACAAAATGGAGCATTCTCCGCACAAATGGCCTTGCAGGCTTGTAGCGACATATTCAAGTAACTAGTGTAGAAGTCGGCATCATTGTCATAACTGCGACTACTACATCCTCTGTCAACAGCATCCAGCAGAACAAACGGTGCAAGGGGTTGACAAACCGCTCCACTCAGTTCCACAGACGCTCCAATTCCTTCCGTCCGAGTCCAAAGCTCACAGCGGTTCCCAGCAAACTCGATTCCTTGGCAAACACGACCACCAACACGACGCTCCCAGTTGCGCTGCAAGCAAAGATCCTGACAGGCAGCCAAGGAATCAGCACTTGTGATCTCGTAGTAAGCTGGATTGTTGTCAAACTCGTCCTTTCCCCTACATGCACGATTCTCACCTGCAGAAACAAAAGGAACATAGCGCAAGCAAACTGGCCCCAGAGTGACGGCAGTGGCTTGAATACCACCAGTCCGCACCCAAACTTCACAGCGGCCTGGTCGAAACTCTATCCCTCGACAGCCTGGAGTGCCCACACAAGCATTTTTGCATGACTCGAGGCTATCAGAAGCTCCTCCCCGCACGATGTAATAGGATCCATCGTCATCCGATGCATCAATACCACGGCAAACTCGGTCGTAGGCTCCGTCCACCGGCACGAAGGAATCTGTGATCGGATAGACATTAGCAACTTCTGCAAGTTTGCGTTGAACAAAAGCCAACCCGGAATCTCCTCGCCTAGCACCGGTCAAAATCACTGAATCAGAAAGACTTAGGGTGGTCTAAATGGCCTACATGCCACCCCTCATACCGCCTCAAGACCCTCGAACAACTCTTTGAGAAAGGACCCTGGATACTTTGCCGTTCTTTTGTTTTCACTTGCAAGGGGGTTTTCGCAGCGAGGAGAAGTCAAAAGCAAGCCCTTATGCAAGCCGAACGTAGCATGGGGGTAGTTCGGCATTCCTGAATCAAACCCAGACACCGTCCAGAGAAGTTTGATGCTGGAGGCTCTGCACTTAGCAATTTCAATTCTTGCCCTTGTGTAAACGCCGCGAAGCAAGTCCATAAGCTCACCTGCAAAGCAACTCAAAATAGTTCTTCAATTGTTCCCAAAATTCATGTAAAGATCCGTCGTGGCAAGTGAGGACCGACACTGAGCGCATGTCTGTTGTGTATCTGCTCCTTTCAAGTGCAACCGCGACTCATTGCTCAGACAAGTGGCACTCTTCAAGATCATCATGAGCTTCGGCCAGCCGAATTCTGTCAACTCAAAAGGTGGGGAATGAATTGAAAGCAACTTGCGTTCTTCAAATCAAACCAACTTGTCACGAATTAATTCCGAACATGAAAGCAGGATCATTGTGAAAACTTGCATGGAGCTGTACATGGCATTTCCGCATGTTTTCTTTCAAACCAGGCAATATTGCATGGTTTCCCGTGGCGTGTTGCATTTCATGTCAGCTTCTACCTGTCTGTGGGCATTCAGTCTGGCCAAAATGCATCAGGATGAACATCAATATGCAGTCTCTATTGTTCAGGCAAACAAAACAAAATCATGTCTCCACACCGAACCCACCGAACCCTGGCGGCCGCATATTGAAACACAACATCTACTAAATTTACAAAATTGTTCCATGCAACAAATCCCACCACTGCGTTTATGTGCATTCGGAATTGTGAATATCCACAAGTGGCGAAGTCGGCGAAGTCTTGAAGGGTGAGCTCATTGCTGGAACTCTCCCAAGAGTTTCAAGCGCCCTTTCATTGCTGTGGAAAATTTGAATTAAGGGCCATTACTACTAGGAGCAAGGACGCTACTATATAGGGGCTCCTGGCATCGCTA